TGGGCATATTTTTCTCTTAAGGGAAAATCCCCATAAGGACGAGCCGAACCACCCATGGCCCGAGTAGACAAGTAGGAATGTCAAGGGACGTTCCCCGACTTTGCATGGTTGCGGCTCGGCAAATGAATAGGGTGGGATCGGCCGGATGCCCAAGACCCCGTCAATCCTGCTTAAGCGTTCATGGTTCCTTAGGGTCCTGATAAGTCCGTTTTGTACGTACTTATCTTCTCTATATTTATCGTGTTGTTGTCTAATTTTGGATTAAACAAATCAATTTCTCAATGGTTTTTTATCTTTTATTCATAATTTAAAAAGTGTACAAAAGTTATGTATAGTTTTAAAAAAAATTAAAATTGAGTCAAAAGTAGTACAAAAAGTGTAAAAGATTGTGCAAATGGATTACAACGAAGCAAGGAGACAAAAGATTGTGAAAATCCTTGAAGTGAAAAATGTGCATTCAAATGTTGGAGTGCACCCCGTCAAAAGATTTGAGGTCAAACGGATTGAAAAAGCACCAAAAAGAAATTGTTTGGAAAGAATAAGATTGAATTAATTCAAAATTAATTTGTTTGACCCAAATTGGTTCAGAATTTAAAGTCGGAGCAGAAGGAAAAGTTGTTCATAATACAATTTTGAGCAAGACTGTATTTTTAGAAAATATTTTCAAACCGGGTCAAAATCCGACCAACCAGGTGCTGCCACGTGGCGCGACCTGGTTGGCCGGCCAACTGTGGCAGCAGCAGCAAAGAGAAGAAAAGCAAGTGGGCTGGTCGTCATCCCCATTATCATCACATAAAATCAATCATAAAAAAAGAATAAAAAAAAGGAAAGAAAGAAGCCAAGTCTCATGATTTCCATCGCCGGATTCGCAGCCATTTCCACTTCAATCCAGGCGTGCACTTGGAGCTCAGGCCCACGTTTGGACCTACGTAACTGCTGACGAATGGGCCGACAAGCTAAGGACTCAGACAGGCCCCCGCCTGGACCTCAGGCCCACGCCTGTTAGAGACCTACACCAAAATTTTCTCCTATAAAAGGAGGGCTTCGCCCCTTCATTCTTACCAAGCTCCAATCCGGGTCTTTAAGGCCCGGAACTCCATAAAAACACCTTTTGGTTTTGTCTTTTGGTAAAAACCACCCGTGTACGACATTGACTTGGTCAACTGTGGTTTTTACCTTAACGACATGGTTTTCAACTTACGAAGCTTGTTATGACATCACAATACATTAAATAAGTGTTTTAAATACTTAGTTTTTACTTTGGAGAACTTTGCATTTTTCGGTCGGGTTTTAGCGCGAGTCAGCTATGCCATGGTTCTGGGCTAACCATCTACCCAGCGATGGTAGATATCACCCATCCATGGGTAAGTGATCCCGGGATTCCAGAATCATGCCACCCAGCGATGGGAGATATTACCCAGCGATGGGTAAGCAGCCTTCAGCCCAACTGATTTCCAGATCCATGCCAAACAACGATGGGAAGTTTTACCCATCGATGGGAACCCAGCGATGGGAGGGCATACCCATCGCTGGTTAGGCATGACTGTTGTGAGTCATTTAAGGCTGATTCTTTCCTTATTTGAAAGTCAACCTCCCACCCAGCGATGGGAAGCATTTACCCATCGATGGGTAGGTGACCGTTGGCTTCAAAACTGAAGGAAAATTGGCTTACCAGCGATGGGTAAGTCCAAACATCGATGGGAAGCCAATATCCTGCAGATCCCAAATTTATTCAATCCCATAAATCAAGCCAATCACCCCTTTAATGTATTGGTCCGTTGGAGCCTATTTTGGCACTATAAAAAGAGGTGTTTGGGTCTGCTTTTCTCATCAACTCACTTCACAATTCTCCTACTTTCATTGCATTCAAACAACATCTTTTTCCATAGCTTTCTAGAGCCAATTTGTGTGAAGTTTGAGTTGTTCTTGAGCGTATACTTTACTCAATATCTACTCTTATAGAGAGTCTTGTTCTTGAGTGTTTTTAGTGTTGTATACACGTTAAGGGAAGCTTGTTTCCCTTGGTTGTACGAAGGAAAGGTATTTTCCTTTGGGTTGAAGTCTTGGAGTGTGGTATCTCCGAGCAAGTGTTGTTGAGGCTCGTGGGACTCGAGTTCTCAGGTTGTAACGGTTTGTTAAGCACCCGTAAGCTTAACGGAAGTAGTGTAGCTCGAGAGAGTCTCTCGGGAGACTGGATTAGCCACACGTTGTGGTGAACCAGTATAAATCTTGGTGTGCTCCCTTTACGCTTTTTACGCTCTTTACTTTTCACTTTCTTAATTTTTTATTTCTGCGATTTCTACGATCAAACACTATTCACCCCCCCTCTAGCGTTGGTCACTTATTCTAACAATCATATGATGGAGTAAGGCATTGCGTCTCTCGGGTTGTTATGTCCGGAGAACATGGGATACATGGTAGATTATGGAGATCGCCAGTATCTGAATAGAGCACTCGAGACCTATCAATCGCGACCCTGGATACTTATGTCGTTGTATCTATCGACACCGTATGTTTTCTAAATCATTTCCAATATGTATTTTGGTTTTTTATTTTAAGTTAGTGACTAACACTTTTTCAATTGTAGGCGACATTGGGTGTTAGTTGTAATACGTTTGTTTGAAAACAAAGTGTATTTCCTAAACTCAATCAAGTTGACCGGAGGGCATAAGCAAATGAAGGTGAAGACTTTCGTCAACGAGTGAGTATTAAGAAATTTATTTCTTATTAATGAATTTTTTTATTTGTTAAGATATTAATTTCTTATTAATTTGTTTTTTACATATATTAAAGGTCTTGGCGGTTACTTCGGGAATGGCACATGCTTGAGCTTAAGGCTCGACCAGATTGGGTTGATGTTCTCGGAGTACCCCAACAAGAAGGGAACATTGAGTGTGGTTATTATACCATGCGATTTTGTTGGCTCATTGTCAATATGTGTGCACAATGTTCTGTACCGTTATCCGATGTGAGTTTGTTTTAGTGTGTTTTTTACAGTAATGAAGTGTAGGGTAATGATTATTAAACTTTATGTTGTATGTTGTTTTCGTATTGCAGGTATTTTAGTCTACTACGCTTTATACTAGAGCTAAGTTAGAGGAGGTTAGAGAGTTTCGGGCAGGGGGTTTTCTCGATGAACTTGTGTAAGTTTAATTTGTGTTGTATTGTATTATATTAAATGTAAGTTAGTAGAGTACAGTGTAGTTGTTTGGCTTTTAGTTGTGTTGTTAAAACTTAGAAGAGTACGTAGTAGTTTTACTCTTATATTTTTTAACATGTACAAGTGGTGGATGCAAATGTTTACTTTTTAAGTTTAATTTGTTTTGTGGTATTTGAGTTTTGTGAATGCATTTGTGTTAGTTACTAATGTGTTGATGGGTAAAATTCTTGATGTTGTTAAATCTATATATTTTGCACCGAATTCTCTGCAAAGTTGAAATGTAGTGGATCAGGAGCAAACCAAATAGACCTTTTGAAAAAATTATATATTTGAATCGGTTATTTGGTAATAACCGATTTAAAAGCTTATACATTTGAATCAGTTATTACCAAATAACCGATCCAAAAGCCCCTTCCAAGAGAAGGGCATTTGAATCGGTTATTTAGTAATAACCGATTCAAAAGCTTAGGCATTTGAATCGGTTATTACCAAATAACTGATTCAAATACTTCTTCCCAAAAATGGCGCCATTTCTGGGAAGGAGCTTTTGCATCAGTTTTTTGGTAATAACCGATTCAAAAAGTCTCTTCCTGAAATTGGCGCCATTTCTGGGGAGGGCTTTTGCATCGGTTTTAATAACCGATGCAAAAAGTAACCTGAGTATTTGCATCGCTGGCTTTTGCATCGGTTCAAAACCGATTTAAAAGGGTCAAAATAACCGATTTAAAAGTTCTTTTTTGTAGTAGTGACTGACTATATTGGGTTATGTTTGTAATAAAAAACAATTTTATGATTTACTTTTAGGGAGTATGAAAGTACTAATCAACATCCATCTAGTTTCTAGAGTGGTTCGAAAATCGAGTAAGCCTACTTTTTAAGTTCTCATAGTATACAAAACTAATCAAAAAAGTGTTTCTATAATTACTAATATAACGTTTATTGTTATTGCTTTTCTAGATTACTCAGTTATGGAATCAACATGATAAAAAAAGCGAGTTATGATATACTGGTTTTGGCACAACGTCCTTTGAAAAGGGTTTTAAGTTACGCTCGATGCATTGTCAATGGCTTTAGATTTCATTCAAAAACACGAGGAATGCCACTTACCTCACAAAATTATAGTGTCATGGTAAAGGGTGATGTGCATAGTGGGGGGAAAGATTTATATGGTGTGCTAATGTGGTGGTCGAAGTTGAGTATGATAGCAAACACAAGGTGGTTCTATTCAAATGTGACGGGTTTGATGTGTTTGCTGATAATGTTGGGATAAAAACAGACACATTTGGCATTACTTCGATAAATATTAGTCGATATTTGAAAACGAATGAGCCTTATGTCGTAGCTTCTCAAGTGCAACAAGTGTACTATGTGAATGATCACATTCACGGGAACTGGCAAGTTGTTGTGAAAACTAATCCTCGTAGTGTTTGCGATGAACCTGAAGAAGATGAAGAAGACACATTTTTCGTTGCAATACCTGAGGACACTGGAGAAGCATATATCCCAATGGATTCTCATGGAATAACTGTTGGAACACGGGTTTACGCCTATGTCGTACCAAACCATGTTCGTTATATGACAGGTTTTGATAATGCCAAACCACCATGACAACAATACTAAACTGAGCAAATCAAAGGCGAAGAAACATGGCATGATGAATTGAGAACCGAGAACCAAGGACCAAGAACGAAGACTTAGAAATAAATTGAGTCGGTCTTAATGTGATCAAGACCGGCACAAACTTCAAAACTTGGCTCTCTAGGCTCGTTTCATTAAAATATCGTTTTGCATATTCAAAAATGTTTTTTATAAGTTTAAAACAAGCCTAAAACAATTGGTACTCGCTCAAACCAAAAACCAAGCCATCCGGCGTTCAGTTTTCAAAAATCGTCGTTCGGCATTCGGTTATCGGCGTTGGTTTTTGGCGTCCGAACCAACCAAGTGGTTTTCAACATTTTATGATTGATTTTTACTTCTAGGCATATTTAAATAGTTCTCCAACAAAAACACTTCAAAAACCACCCTTCGTTTTTTGTCATTTAGTAAAAACCATATGAAACGGCGTACACTTGGCTAGCCGTGGTTTTTATCTAAACGACGTGGTTTTCAAGATGTTTTACTTGATCTCTTAGCAAAATGCATTAAACAAATATTTTCAATACTTGGTTTTGATTTTGGAGAACTTAGATTTTTGACATCGGCTAACGGCATTACTAAACCAACCATGGGTCTCGCTAAACCAGCCCAACAGCGATGTTGGAGTGACCAACAGTGCTGTCTGGAATGGGCAGCTGCAAACCATGGTTTGGCGTTAAGTCTTCCAACAGCGATGTTGGTGTTTGGACATCGCTGTTGAGCCAAGGTTGGGTTTCCAGAAACATCTGGAACAACGATGTAGTCTACCCTACATCGATGCCCAACCTAAGCCAAAAAGAGATGCCTTTGGTAGAAAGTTTTTGGACAACGCTGTTGACCGAGCAACAGCAATGTTAGGCCAATTCCTCAACCTTCAAAGTCAGGCCTGAACAGCGATGTTCAAGTAACGAACATCGATGTAGGCACCTGACTGTTGGAAGGAATTTATGACTAAAACTTTCCTTGTTTGGAAGTCAACAGCCAAAACAACGATGTAGGGGTTTTGGACATCGCTGTTGGCTTGACCATTGCTTCCCAATTTTCAAAAACTAAGCCTAGAACAGCGATGTCCAAGCCATGGACAACGCTGTCTCGCTGATTTTCAGCAGATCCTTTTTTAATCAAATCCCTCAAATTATGCCAATCACCCGATTCCACTCCTACCCGTTGGAGCCTATTTTTCTACTATAAAATGGGGTGTTTGGGTCTGCTTTACACATCACATTACTTCACAACTCTTATTCTTTCATTGCATAACATTCATACATTATTCATAGCTTTTCGAGAGCCATTTTTGTGAAGTTTGTGTTATGTTCTTGAGCGTTCTTAGTTAAATACTGCTACATCTGCATGCTTTATAGACCTCCACGCTGCTCACATTGTTCAGATTGCAATAATGGTGTGGATCAGTTTGATCATCATTGCCCTTGGGTTGGACAATGTATTGGATTACCCGAGCATTAGTGTTGCGGTACTGATAGGGTTGACTTTATTCCACGTCCTCCGTTGGTTAACAAACAGGGGAAAGCTGCCGCCGGGACCATTCCCTTTGCCGGTCATCGGAAACCTCCATTTGATAGGAGGGAAATGGCACCACCAGGGCCTCGCCCGGCTGGCGGAGAAGTATGGGCCGGTGATGAATCTGAAGCTGGGCACCGTGAACACGGTGATCATTTCTTCGGCGGAGGTTGCCCGGGAAGCTTTGCAGAAGAAGGACTCGTCCCTCTCCTCCCGCCGCCCCCTCCCAAATGCCCTCGCCGGCGGCCTCAATTATCTCGGCAACTCCGTCGTTTGGCTCCCCGTCTCCCCCAAGTGGAGAGCCCTTCGTAAGCTCGTGCACTCTAACATCTTTTCGCCCCTCAGTCTCGATTCTAATCAGCACCTCAGAGATAGGAAGATCCGGGACCTTATTCTCCATTGCCAAATGAAGAGTCAGGTTGCAAAAATATCTTTCTTACTTTTATTTTCTTATGCCTTCCAACAAAAAATATTCACTCTTTATCAAAATCTTTTATTTTAGTACTCCCTGTGTTCACCATAGATATTCCCAGATACTATTTATAGGGTCAAATTTAACCACTTCAATTCGAATTGGGTGTTTGAAAATAGTCATACTTTTTTTCTTCTCTTTCTCCAAAACACATGACCATTTTCTCTCATAGAAACACATCGTCCAGATCTTTTTATTCTAAATTTCTTTTCAATATCTTTTCTTTAAGACTTAAGGCTCCATTTAGAACCTAGAATACATTTTCTTTAAGACTTAAGGCTCCATTTTGAAGGAAGATTTATTTAGGGAAATTGAAGGACAAATTCAAACATAATGCTACCATTTATGCAACTGGTGGGGAGAGGCATAGCCGTGTCTCAGTTTGCTCTTTTTTGTAGTAGTATTTTCCTTGCAAGACTATGTTTTTGGCTTCAAGAATCAAGAATACATATATTTTGGACAATTTGTATTGTGGCAGGTAAATTTTTTAGCTTGGTGCCACAAGAATTTCCAGGGAGAGGGTTCCTTGAGGATGTTATGTTGGCTGCGAAAACCCAACCAAAGGAACGACTCGAGAAAGAGTTCGTAGACTGTTGGTTAATAAGTCCCAACATTACTTGTTTTAGTTTCTTAGGCCAAAAAATATGGCATCAATTTTCAAAGCTATAAACGGGTATATGTGATTCAAATTCATTCTTGTTTTGTTTTGTTTTTTTTTGTTTTTTTATCTCAGCAAGTACTCATTTGGTCATGTATTTGTCAATTTGTATGTATAGTTTTTGAACCTCACTTATAATGAGCGAGGATCATGAGCCATGGGCCCATGTTTTAAACAAAATACTCTCCACCCTATCTCTTACATGGTATGATTTTATGATACTAGTAGTGTTAATGCTACATTTGTTCTTGAGTTTTGATAAGGGCAAGCAATGAAGGCTACATTTCATCTCCTAGATCATCACTTTTGTCTTTTTTCGATGTTATCCTAAAAGTGTTATTCTTTTTTGTTGTTTTGCACCTAATTACCACATGAACTAACATAGAGACCGAGGAATAACCTGTTGTGTTTAGGTGCCCTAGCGGCAATCAAATACCTATGTAACTGTACACTTTATCATGAATGAAAGGCCTTGAAGTATGTTTTATATCTCGTGTAACATAACATAGCTTTAGTCCGTAGACGATAGCGCTTCATTATCCACTCTAAAAGAGAGTTTTGTTCTTTAGTGATTTAGTGTTCTAAGACACTTGATAAGAGAGTTTTTCTCTTGAGTAGTTCGAAGGAAGGGTTGTTTCCTTCGAAGGTTCGTTAAGGTTCATGTGACTCGAACTCTCAAGTTGTACGGCTTTGTTAAGCACGGTTAAGCTTAACGTTGTTAGTGTAGCTCGAGAGAGTCTCTCGGGAGGCTGGACTAGCCACAAGTTGTGGTGAACCAGGGTAAAAACGGTGTGCCTCTTCTTTACTCTTTACTTTACGTTTTTAATTTTTTTATCCATGCGTCATTTTGGGTTCAAACGCTATTCACCCCCTCTAGCGTTGGGACGTTTTTCTAATAATTGGTATCGGAGCCTAACTCTCTTCCAGACTTAACCGTTTGAGAGGAATAAGATCATGGGCTCTTCTTCTAGAAATTTGTACGCAGGTATTGGCGAAGAGCAATCCACCTCTAGGTCACCGCTCTTTAATGGCACCAACTACTCCTATTAGAAGGAACGGATGAGAATCTATATCCGTTCCATCAACTTCCAATTGTGGTTGGTCATCAAAAACAGTGAGGAAATCCCAATGAAGAAAGTGGGAGAAACCACAGTCCCAAAGACCGAGGACGAGTTTGATGCTGAGGACATCAAGAAGGTGGAAAATTATGCAAAGGCCATCAACATACTATATTGTGCGGTTAACCCCGACGACTACCGAAAGATCTCCTGTTGCACAACCGCCAAGGAGATGTGGGAGTCAAAGTTTTCGTCAATTCAATTTTTCCAGATTGAACAAAAACAACTCGTTTTCCATTTGGCAAACCAAACTCACATGGTGACACGCCCACCACATCATGCAATAACGCAATATCACTTGTCATATGATTCGATGCGCCAGTATTTATAATCCAACGTGGTGATACGGGAATACCTGAAAGTTTCGCACTAGAAAGAAAAAGCATGACAAACAGTATTTCATTGTTCCTGAGTTAGATCATCAAAATTGGGCAACAAAGAACCTCTCTCATGATTATCATTATATTCTTTTTAGAGAAAAACACTTTCTTTGGTTGTTCTTCCACCATGGCAGTAGCAGAATGACGTACAACAATGGCGAAGAGAACAACAACGATGGCGGTCTGCTCGGTACCAGCAACGGTCGGCGAAGAAGCAGCGAAGATGATCGACCGAGCAACAGCAGAAGAACAACAGTGGCGGACGGCTCAGTGCCGACCGACCAAGAACAAGAAAATTTAGGTTTTAGGCTCCGATACCATGAAAGAATAATAATTCGAGAAAGTTTCTCTTGTATTTCTGATGATTACAATATGAACAAAAGTAGTATTTATAAAAGATCTCACATGTTAGGAACTCTATATAGAAATAATTACACAAGGAAAAAATACCAAAGGAAACAGAAATATACAAGGAAACTACCATAAGCATAAGAGTAATATATACATAATCTTCTTTCCTTTAACAAGGACAAAGTTAATACGGAGTATATGAAGAAAAACCAAAAAGTAACAATACAAAAATCTCAACTGGTTTTTATAAATAAAAAGCAATTGCATACATGTTACAAATATTTCATTGATTGTACAACAGAACCTGCCGTAGCCGTTCAATGATTTTCTCTCATACCCAATGGTAATGTTGAATTTTAATCCCACCACAGTTGTTTAACATTGTAATGCTCTCTGCATTCTAAAATGTCGAACAATGAAAAATTGAACATGGCAAACCTGCTACGACCCAGGAAAGGAGAATTTGCTTCAACCCATTGCCTGCAAGAACCAGATCCTCCCTTAATTGGGGTTCAAATGTATAGGGTACGTTCCGTTCAGCTTATTTTTCCAGCTTATTACTTGTTCTTATTAAAATCAGATCAGATCAAAGCAGATTAGAAACATCATTAAATATAACTACAATCAAATCAGTTTACGTTTTCAAAAAATCAGATCAGACCGGGCGAACGGAACGCAACCATACTCCCTCCATCCCAAAAGAAGAAGAAAAACTATGTTCTTTCCTTTTCTAGACGTCCCAATGAAAATCTCATTTTCTTTTCTTTCCTGACGTAAAAAAAAATCTCTTTCCATTTTTAGATACTCCGTAACTTTTTGCAGCTTAAATTTATCTCTCACATGCATCATTTTCAACTATTTAATTTTTCTTTTCTGACGCCAAACCCAACTAGGTGTCTTTTTTGAGACGGAGGGAGTAGTAAAAAGCTTAAAATGATTTCCAAGTATTAGGAACAGATTGCAATGCTCCATGTCACGGTGCGTCTTACTTTTACACTATGTTTGGTTCAAGAAATTTGAAAGAAAAAAAAAAGAAAATGAAGTGGAAAATAGTTTTTCTTGTTTGGTTAGAAAGGAAAAGAAAGGAAAAGAATATGAGAAGGCAAATGTAGTAAGTGGAGGAAAAACCAAATTCCTCCCATTTTGACGAGGAAAATGAGAAAAAATCATTTTCTTTTCTCTTCCTTCCGAATTCCTTGAACCAAATGTAGTGTTAGTGTGCCCATAGCATGTATAAGAGAAGCTCACCGGGTTGAAACCACTTGTCTAACCAAGATACTTTAACATTACACCATCATTTCCCAGTACAAAACCTTGTTCCTCGTTGATAAACCTGCAAAATACAAGTTGACTCAAAATTAAGCAGCCAAACAAGATGACTCATTTGTGTTTTTATAAAATCTTGTTTTAGAATAATATTCGGGAAATTATTTCTATATATTTCTCTGTCAATCATGTATAAGAAGCAATATATATAGTGAGATGAACCCACATATATCAAGCAATTCTCAATCAATAAGAATTCCTACATTACCAGAAATTCTAACATAATAGGATAGGGATACATAATGTAGCAGAACATTACAAATTATGTCAAATAATCTTATTTTCTTGAAAGATACCAGTAGGATTCCGAGCAACTCCAATTCCCAAGAAAATGGAAACATATTGAAATGTTTTCATGATTGCATCACAATTTACAACAAAATAATTGCAAGCAATCACAAGATCATCAACATAAACAAGAACGTGAAACATCTCCTAATTACTTGTAAATATATGAACGCAAACGAACCATTCTCTCAATGTTCGAACTAAAAGCCTGGAGGCCATGTACCCCTCCACGGCGAGATTGCGATGCAAAAGGCACTGTGCACATCCATTTATGCAATTCCCAACCTTTCAGTGCCGCATCAACCGAAAGTACTCACTGTAGTAAGCTTAACAGTTGGAGCAAACACTTCATTATAGTCAATGCCTTCAACTTGAATGATACAAAGAATTACCAAACGAGCCTTATATCATTCAACCTCCCCGGTGGAACGTCTCTTGATGTGATAGATAGACCCGGTTAAATCCCAAAGGCTTCTTATGATGAGGAAGTGGGACCAGGGTATCTTTTCTGGTATCCCGACAATACACTTGTCACTCCTTACTCCATGGGGATATCCCAAGAACATACCCGAGTCCCAACCAACTATGGTTGGCAAATTTATTGCCATGTCAATCATGCTTCATCGAAGGAGTTCTCCAAGGAAACACCTCGTAAGAGGTTTTACCACCAAGCAAAGGAGTTGGCGTCCCAAAAACCCAATTGGGAGAGACGCCTAAATGTGCAGAGCTGGGGAAATGTTCAAAATGTATTGATGCTTACTCTCAACGCGTCCAATTGCCGAGGTGTCCCACGACATGTTTCAAAAAGAATTCGATGTACGGAAATAAGAATTGAGACATTCAAATTTTATGCCATTGTCGATACGCACTGTTGTCACCTTCTTTTCAAATTGACGCTTAATTGTAGAGCAAAAATCACGAAAGACATAGGCAACCTCTTACTCGGTAAGCAATGAGTAGATCAATCTAGCTTGGGAAGAATCATGAAACATGCATAAGAAATAAAGTATATCGAACAAAAATAGGAGTCCCATATACACCCTACGAATCAACATGCACCACTCGAAACACCTGAAAAGTTCGACTAAAATTATTTGGAAAACCATCTTGAGATTGTTTTGCTATAAGCCAAATCCCGCAAGGGTCTTTATTCAAACCCCAAGATCTACCACCTGCTTGAGTAAAAGATAAAACTTTATGTGACGGAGTTAAAAATCTACAATAGTTCTAACTCCTTTTTTACCATAACGCTCAACAATGTCTTCGTCTCAACTTCCTTCAACTAGTACAAGCCTCTTGGAAAACTGGTCATGTAAGATACACAATTTACCTACAAATTGTAAAGAACAATCCAACTCCTCACCCAAATCACAATTCAACTTAGGCGGAAACAAAACATGTTTCAAATTTGTGTATTGTTCAAGGCTATTTCTCAAACCTTATTTGCATCATCAAGTTTTCCATCCGAAAGATGTACCAAACAGCCCAGTATATCATAAATGTTTTATGGATAACTCAGATCACATGTCATATGATGTCAGGCTCCCGTATCAATTATCCAACGAGTAGTCCAGGTACTTGAGAGCTTTTCTGAAACGATTTTCGCAGAAAAGTGCTTTAAAAATCTCCCATTGGTCCAATGTCAAATTAGGAACTACAGTACCACCGGCATGCCCTCTGCCGGCTGCAGCTGGTGTTGTTGCTGGCTGACCAAGGCCTGGAATGGCACCGCTACTATGTCCTCTACAGAGGGGAGTTTTACCATGGTCGCACCCAAAAGTTATATCCCCCACCATTCTAGAGATTCGTGCAATTGATAACATGAATCCGCCTCGTGGTCTTGCTTTTGGTAGTGCGTACAAACTGTAGTTCTGGCTCTTGAAAAGAGCATAGATCGCAAGGGATTCTTCATCTCTTTTCTTCTCCAACTGTGCACCAAAATTATACGTGGATCTCCCACACGTAAGTGTTAGGGCTGGACCTCTATCTCCAAGATCATCCTAAATCTTCCTGAATTTGCCAAAGTAGTAATATTCATACTTTTCCGGTCTGTAGTCGCACAATTCTGGCATCAACCATTGGATATGAGGCCCATCCACAACCGGGAATCGAGCATTAATATCATCCTGAAATTCACTTGCCATCTCTATATGTGAGATTGTGGAACAAAGAGACATCTCAATAGTATTCCGGATCCAAGACACGGGTAACGAGTTATTGGTCCACCAATCATCGAAATCACTCAAACTCACAGAAGGCATCGGGATGGATCCATCCACAAATCCAAACTTCTACAGGCGCAAAGAGCAGTACAGGGAGCATACATCCACTCTACATAGTTTTCTCATTTCAGAGAAAGTTGTGAGATAATCAAGACGGGATTATCATTCACAGAGTGATGCAAGGAGAGATCGTTCTCCTATGATCGATCACGATGATGACCTATTCTTTTCCGCCGCCGGTCTCCTCATGATTTTCTGTGTTGACAGGCTATGATTCCTCTGCTGCGGCTGGCTAACATAGTTGACGTCGAAGGTAAGCCAGCAATTTACTCAGCAAGGGATTCGTTCGCAAATGATGATTGGAAAAACCAGTAATCTGATTGAACGGGAAAATATAGAAACCCTATGGCTTGATACCATGCTAAAAATATTATTTGAGGAATTATATTTGTATATTTCTGTGTCAATCATGTACAAGCAATATATATAGTGAAACATGCCCACATATCGGGCAGTTCTCAATCAATAAGAATTCATACCTTAACTCCTACCATAACAAGATCAGGGAACATAATATAACACAGAATATTACAAAATATTTCCAATAATATTATTTCCTTAACTAATAATTTCTTTAGTATGTTCGATGAAAAAGAATATGAGTTCACCATAATGCTAAAAAATTTTAAAACAAATGAAATGAGAAGGCATTATATCTCTAGTCGCGGATAGAATACTGCAATAAGTGGTCTAATATGAATTTAAAATTCTAGCTTCATGCTATATAAAATTTAAAATAAACCTAAGTGAAAAATTAGATCAAGCTTGCTCAAGAACGGCCCTTACTTGACTGAATAGAGATTAGCTGCAATTTTATCAGCAGCTTTGTTGCGAATCCATGTCTTCCCATTGTCTGTGGATTTCAACAAAACCCCACTCCCGCCAGATGCCCAAACCTCATCCTGTAAAAATCAAATCAAATGCTGCCCCGCAAAAAAAAGTTGAAGAAAAATGATTCTGTGAAGTGTGAACTAATTACACTAAATACACATTCATATGCCATTCAAGAAGAGATACAATTAGTAAAAGAACGGACCTCTTACCTACAGCATTCATTTTACCTGTGAACGATAACCAACATCAAGAATGCCAAAACCACGGCTTGGTGTAGGTACTTCTTCAAATTCCTCTGTTAACTAGAAAGAAAAAAAATTTGAGGCTAAGTGAAGGACGACATCGAATTGGATATCTCATATCTACTACACATCAACTGATCACTGTGAACATACCAAACTTTTCATCTATAAAAAAGAGCAACTGCATTCGTGATAGAAGAAATACATAAATGGACATGCAGCCAAATTACTTTAGCCCAATGGATATAAGTTTAACCATATCTTTCAATTTTCATGTAGCATTTCATTCTCATTAAAAAATGTGAAGAAGAGTCTTATACCTTTGAAGTCTTGGCATAGTTTACCATCCTTCTAGCACAAATTTTTGGCTTAAGGCGGGTCCCACCCTAGGGGTATGCGAGGTGCCAAACCGCACATGGCCTCAATTTTCAAAGGGCTCAAATTTAAAAATTCAAAAAATAGTCCTTTATATATAACTAATCCCATGTCCCATCTTTTTTACTTAGAACTTTCAATATGGAGCATCATGCAAATAGAAAATCTAAACTTTTAATGCAAACTTTTATACTTAAACATAGACATCCAAATTTTTAGTGTGTCTTGATTCTGAATTTTTTAATTCCCTACATAAAACTTAAATATTTAATGTGCAAATTATTTGAAGAATGAAACAAGAAAAAGAGACTCTTTATCTTTTGAAAAATCACTTCACCGCTTCTAAGTGAAGACCATACAAGCTTCAAGTTGAACACAGTGTGATAGCTGCCCAAGCCTTGCTAGCATATCTTTATGATTGTGTGGTAGTTTGTAGTTGTTCCCTCCTCCGACCCTCATTACCTCCTGCATGACATATTGGTCGGTGTGTAGGGTGATAGTGCATTGAAACTTTCCTCCACAGCTCCCACTTAGTCACTCACTGTCTTGGGAGCACACTGATTCCTTAGGGATTGTATGGATGCAAAAAATCCCAAATCCAATATGTTTAGGTCAAGAGAGTTTGGGGGTTGGTTACCTAGTGTTATGTGAAATCCTAGACTTGTAGCAGCTCGTATGAAGTCCTCATCCAGCCCAGAAATGTGTGGCTTTGCGTTGTCTTGTTGGATTTCAATACGCTTGTTGCAATGTGCTGGCCACTTAAAATAAATATGTTTAATTGCTGGTAGGACTTTTTGAATGAGCCTGTCTTTGTAAATTGCCTTGTTTACACTTAACACTGGTTTAACTTCAAGTGTTCCGGCTCCCCTGTTCTTGCTTTTTCACTTTGCTGCCAGTCTCTATAAACGGGAAAATTCCAATCTTTCCATCCCGAACAACATGACCATCTTCGTTTATTATTGGCCTAGCAACTACAGCTAGGAACATCACCTTGGCTATAAATCTCTTAGACTTGCAAGTTCTATGTGGGTCTTCGTCGTCTAGACCTAAGTAAAACCTCTGTGAAGTGTTTGACATGAAAAACCATTTTTTGTTTATGTGTATGACATTCTGAAAACTCTTGAAAGTGGGATTTGTGTCTGATCATTAATTTGACTCACACAAAACTTTAGCCTTTGAATCTTGTTGCCATCAGACAAAAAGGGCTTAACGGCATTTGAATGTCTTCTACATAGTTATCAAGGCGTCGCCTAGGCAACGCTTAGGCGTCTGGGCGAGGTTATATGGATGCCAAATTGCTCGCCTAGATTTTTTTTGGGGAAACACGGGAGAAGAAGATGACTGAAAGAAGCTGAGAGAGGACGGAGGAGGAGAAGATCCGAAGAAGACGAAAGGGAGAGAGACTTACCATTGGAGGAAGATCGACTTTACCTTCATCGCCTATCCTGATTCAGTGTTGCGACTCGCGAGATCCAGCGGTTTCCTAGTCTAAACCCTCAACTCTCTATAGTTATTTAGGTTAACTAATTTGGGCCCAATACTCTCTAATCATGCCTTTCTTAATGATTTTATGCATTGTTGATTTTGGGAGGCCAGCAACACATGCTAAAGATCTGATAGTGGTCCTTTTGCTTAAAGGAATCTGTTCAATAGACTTTACATCGAAAGTTGAGACCCTTTTCCAACCTGAGTTAGTAAAAACTTTGCTACACACATCAATAGGTAAACTAAGTTTTACCTGGTTTTTTGCAAGGGACCATAGTGATGAAACTGTTCTTCTAGAGATGTTGAACTGAACTGCAACCTTGTTTATAGTAGGAGTTCATCTATAATATTTTGTCTTTCATTATCAGACAGGTTTTTGGTGTGTTTCTGTATATAGTTTGTTAGTGTCTATCTCACATAAAAAATTGAATAGAAAAGTAATTGTTATATAAGCTCTTGAGTTGAACTAAGTAATCAATTGAATTCAATCTTTTAATGTGGTTCAGCGCAAGTGTCTTATAACCCAGTTCAGTTATCTCTACCCAGTCCTAAATTCTATCATGGTATCAAAGCCTTGATGACCAAGTAGTCACGAGTTCGAAACTCAGCGCCACCCAATTTTAAAAAAATAAGGTTACACGTGCAAGGCTCAAAGAAGTCACGATCACGCCTGCACATGAGGGGGTGTGTTAGAGTATATATAAAACTCATTCTTGAGCCACAACCATAAGCTTGAGCTTTTGGTTGAGTTGGTTCCTTGACATGGTATCAGAGCAGGTTTTGGCCCACCTCGTTTGTCAAGGTGTTCGTCTAGACGTTCATTCCTAGTGGCCCGTTACTCTTTAGCCTAGTTGTCCGTATGGAGTATGTACCCAACGACCTGTGGCCCGTGTAACACAATTTCTTGTCTGGAAGTTCATACCCAGCGGCTCGGGGTCTTTTAGGTGTTGGCGCTCAAATTAAAAAAAATCAAAGGGATGAGAGTCCATTTGCAAGTGGTCAATCGGTTAGATACTTCGGTTGTCCAATTATCAAAATATTCAAAATACGCGAGTCCCATACGATAATTTTTTATTGCTACACCTTAACTTTATATTATAATGCATAACATAATTATGATACATTATTATTCTACTTCCTTGTTTTTTACATACCAATTAATATTCCTCAAATGTGTAGATTAGATTTAAACATTTTATTATGATTCATTGTTATTATACTTTCTTATTTTACAAATCAATTATTACTCAAAAGTGTAGCTTAAATTTTTATTTTACATCTTAAAATTAATAAAGCGACAATTACACTCTTGTGTTATCATACTAAATACACAAAATAATTACAAAGTGATCACACTAAGACTACCAAACACTCTGTGTAATTACATGGCCATGTCATTGCATAGCTCTATGCAGACTAGTAATTACACTCTTGTATCCAAACACATCTTAAGTAATCTTTTTATCCATAAGCTATTATAATATGATTCATTCATCTTGCTCTTTGCACCCTAATCATGAAGGCGCAAATACGACAAGTATCTTTTGGTTTTTTGTGATGTAATCAATGTTGAAATAGGAACTGCACACTAGATGAATGAACACATATCCATGTTGAGGATGGAAATATACACTATCGGATATGGTACACATGAGGCATCATAACCCTCAATGGGGCTAGTTCTAAGTAAATGCTAGATGTAATTAAACTTGCATGTGGAATTAACAACACTATCACTATCGCAAAAGGAATCAAGAGTAAAAATAGTGATACCACACTCACATTCATAACAAAGTAAAGCAAAACGACTAAATCAATATGTCCCTCATCGAAAGATCATTCTCACCATCAATGTGCATTCAGATTAGAGATCTTATCACTTTTATTTGAGGCATGTTTCTTTCATTTTCTGCACATTTCATTTCCCTCACTCCAGTGTCCAATTGAAATTCGACTCATTTAGGGGTGAGCAAACGGGTCTTGGAACCGCGGGTCTGAAACAAACCACACAGCTCAAGGAGAGTTAGGGGCAGGTCCAATTGAATCCCGCTAAATTGAATAATAACTAATAGAACCCCATGTCATGTATGGATACGAAAACCATTACTTATCGATATCTACTTCTCTGATCCCTCCATTTTTGTTTTCATTTCTCTCTTAGTTTGTTGAGGCTTTTACCAAGAAAGACACTTCATATTCTGGAAAATGAGAACATTTTCACCAGGCCGAGAAACATGCAATGAATTATGGTTGTAAACAAACAAAATATAATTTCCTTTAAAGACTATTACAATGTTTGATATAACCCAGATGGGCTCTGCACAACCTACCTTCACGCCACAAACACTCAGAGAAGTCAAAGTCTTAATGTCCAAGTTCTATGACCCATTTTGGGTGGAAATTACTCCTCATAAAATAACAAAAGTAGAAAAGAGTACCCTCCTGACCCAATTTCCCACCAGGCAGAACCCCTCCTGACCATAACCCACAACATCCACATTATAGGTTATGATAAGTAAAAATAAGTGGAAGACATCTTATCTTGCTAATTTTCCCCATTTGGGCCGAGCCAAGCATGTAGGTATAGAAGATGAAGGTAACAAGATGAGGATGCTTAGGTGGGTGGGTGGAGATACTATGAGGGAGAAAGTTCGAAACAATGATATACGAGACAAGTAGAAGTTGCATTTGTAGAGGATAAGATGGGTGAGTCAAGGCTTTAATGGTTTGTGCATGTTTAGAGGACAGCTAGCGATGCCCCGGTGAGGATGTGTGAGACGTTAGTGGTTGAGGTTTTGAGAAGAGGTAAAGGTAGACTGAAAAAGAGATGGGGGAAGGTGATTAGGCTGGACATGAGGTGTCTGCAATTGACCAAGGACATGACCTTAAGAAGAATTTAGATATCTAGGATTAAAGTTGTACGCTAGTAAGATAAGTGTGTTTCTTTTCTCTTGAGGTCAAGGGTTCTAGGAGGTTGCTAGATTAGTTGGGTTTTTTTTGTAGTTAGTAGTGTATCATGCCTTATGTGACCTTTACTTTCTTGTGGACTTGAGCTAATTTGTTTTCTTTTGTCCTTTGTGAGAGAGGAGCCTTTTTGAAGCAGCATCTCTACCTTTATAAGTAGAGGCAAGGCAGACTTGCATCCATCCCCTAGATCCCACTTGTGGGACTACACTGGAGTTGCTCAAATGCTCAAGAAGGGTAGTGTCATGGCCCTTGCTATGTGTGTACCTACTCGAGTCAAGTGATTGCTCTAAGAATTAATATACTACAAAGTAAAATCCATGAAGTAAACTTGTGATATTCAATCAACTTTGCATGTTGTCTCCAATCTAGTTTTTTTCACGAATGAAATAAGCATACACACACACACACACACACACACATATATATATTAATGGTCAATTTACCTAAGGAAATTAAAATGTCCATTGTCAATCCAGTGAATAGTTCTCAAATATCTTAACCAACACTTCCCGTCAAATAACCTACATTTCTAACCAGTTGGGGTGCATAAGACACATATGTACCATTTCAATGGGGAGTGTTGATATAGTGATATACTTGTATATAAAATTTGTAAAACTTTTTTAATCGGGTGTATGGCATGGGAAGGAAGGAATACTTTAACTCTATGATGTTTTACCTTTTCTACTTCATATGAACAAGGCTCCCAAAATAGAGGAATAGTGAATACATTCCTTGGAATATGGAACCTAAAACATAAACCTAATGACAATAGGAAATATGATAGTTCAAAACCACAATTACTATATTTCTATAATTCAATCTATTGTATCCTTCAACTATTTGTAGTAACTTTATTGTTTATGTGGGTTTGTAATCTTTAGTTACATTGAGTGCATTGAACAATGACCAACCAAAGTAGTGGGATACGATTGTTAAAGGCTAAGAACGACCCAAAACAGATTATCAAAATTTGATTGAAGATATATTTATTTTATATGTCAATATGATGTTTCCATTGTTATTCATAGAGTCTGTTGCTATTTTGGCATGTCAGGCAGCAGTACCAAACTAAAGACATTATTATGTTTATGTACCACATTCAAATGAAAACTCATGAATTCACTTACCCCTGTTCCTTTGCTAAGATATAATCCTCCGCCACGTACAAGTAGCCAAAGGCCGCCATCAGCTCTCCACCCCATGTTTTGGATTCTTCTACCCGCTACCCTATTATGTGGCTGCCAGTAGGGCTGCCATAATGAACATTTAGGGAAATATCTTATTGTCAAACCCAAGCAAGTAGGCTCCATCTTATATATAAAGTAATATAAATGCATGGATTGCATGATTTACTGGTTTTTTCTCTATGAACAAACGGACCAATCTGCTACAAACAACTAGATGCAAGCTGTCTCATCCCTGGACTCATGCACATGCACAGATAATATAGTAAATATAAGTGAAAAGAACCTCACCTGCCCATGTTCCCAGGTCATATAGAAGTTACCACGGCTTGAAACAGCAACATAACATCCATCCCGAGAACGATTCACTGTGTTAAATGTTCCTGTATAGTAGCTAGCTCCACTAATGCCACTGGAAACTGTTCTGCAATTTCATTGGGTATGTGAATATCAAGATGCGGTTCTACTTTTCTAGACACAAAAATATCAAATGATCCGAAAGGGGTGACTAATGAAAATGACAAAATTATGATATCAAAGCATGGGGAGATAATTACATAATACTAGCCTACAAAGACTAAAGACTTGTGTGAAGAGCTACATCCGAGAGGTTACATGGTCACAGTAATAAATATTACAAAGCCTAGTATTTATAAAACTATCGAAAGCTAAAGAGTTAGGATGTGTTTGGTGAGCAACCAAAATATGAGTTTCGATATCTCCAGATATTAGAATTTTTTTTGGGTGTTTGGTGAAGCAAAAAAAGATATGGAATTTGATATCTCTAGATATCATAAACCCTTCAAATGGAGGGTTTTGAAATCTCCTGAGTTTGGGAGATATCAATGTAGGGGTTTGATGTCTCCCTCAACCATTGATCATTTTCCGTCACCGGCTATCATTGTCACCACTAACCACCCCCGTTGCCTGTCACCCCTGATTATAACTAATTAAATCATAATTTTAAATCTCTACAAACAAATTCGTTTCAGATTTCAAAATCCATATCATTTCTCCCAGATTTCATAAACCATATCTTATTATATCTCCAAAACTCACGAAACAGACTCCTAAAGTATAATGTTGACTACTTGTATTAATAATACTATATACCTTAAGACACGTCTCTTAGTAAAATTTCTCTTCTTACGCTGTGTTTGGTTCAAGGATTTGGGAAAGAAAGGAAAACCTTTTCTCTCCTTTTCCTCACCAAATTGGAAGTAAATTCACCCTTTTTAGTTTATGTATTCTCCGCAGTCGGGTAGGCATGGCACATGTGGAAAACTACCCCGGGAAGCAAAGTTGAGGTGGTTTGGGCATGTGAACATGGTTGTTAAGTCGACAAGTCAAGTCGAGTCGGTGAAGGGGAGACTAGTACACTAGTCGACTAGTCGGCCTACTAGTCGTAGACTAGTCGACAAATCACAATTAGTATTGGAATTTTTAACATTATATATATCTTCATTCACCCAAGATAACTATATATATTTATATGACAAAATATCATTACCAAAATAAAATTATGTTTAAAGGTAGAACATAAAGTCACTAAAAAATTAATAAAATTGAAAAATTAAGAGTATAATATACTTTACTAGTCTAATGAACCAAATTAAAGAAAATTAAACCGAATAAAGAGTATACTTTAATGATAAATAATTAAAGATAGAGAGATGTTACTTATGGATAGAGAGCGTGTGAGTACTAAAAGATGAAGAAGAATCAATTCTAAAAAATTGATTCTGGAAGATGTCGATGAAGGAGATGTCACAATTTGGGAATAGTTAAATGTCGATTCACTGGATTTTGATTGTGTTGATTGAACTGATCGAGAGAGGCTGTGTTTTATTGAGTAATTTTTAAAGTTTAATGAAATTTGGGTCGGGTTGGGTCAAATTGGGTTGGTTGAGACGGGGTAGGTTTTCTTCACAGACTAGTCATTGCCTAGGCGCGCCTAGGCGTCGCTTAACTCGCCCAGTCGCCTAGTCTACCCTAGTCGCTAGTCGACGTGCAAGTTGCCATTTGGAAAACACCTGGACGACTAGTCGTCAACTAGGCGACGACTTGACAACAATGCATGTGAAGCGACAGAATGTTGACACTCTACTACAGAGATGCTACGTTGGTGAGTGGAAGTAGGGGAAGGGGTAGACCTAGAAAAAATTAGAAGGAAGTGATAAGACATGACTTAGGACTTCTTGCCCTTACTAAGGATATGACCTTAGATAGAAGCGTTTGCAAAGCTAAGATTAGAGTAGTTGGGTAGGTGCCTTGGGTTAGGGGGTGGTTTTGTGTATTTATTGTTGTTGCTTTGTATGCCTTGTATGCTTGGTACTCTCTGATTGCTTTCTGATTCCTTTACTTTTCCTTTGTTAACTCTAGTTTGTTCTTTGCTTATGTGTGAGACGCAACTGGGTTGTTGTATTCTTCACATTTTCTTCTCTGTTCACTTTTCTGTTCTTTTCTTCTATAACAACAACCCGGTTGAATCCCACAAGTTTAGGGTCTGGGGAGGGTGTGTGTATGTAGACATTACCCCTACTCGAAAGTAGAGAAACTGTTTCCAAAGAGACCCTCGGCTCAGCGTCGAAAGTTGCATTGATTGACTAAACTGCTTCTTCATTAATAAAAGAAGCGCAAACCATTTAGAGATCCATTTTGCTTTATTTTGTCACACCCCAAAGCCAAAAAATAGTGGAGTTTTGGCTCCATCATTTTCTTTTCTTTTCCTTGTCAAACTCCTTGAACCAAACATAGTGTTAACGCCTATGAACATGCAAAACAAACCAAGTGAATCCAACTAATAAGTAGGGTCCTGGGTGTAAGATGTATTCAATCCTTGCCTATACCATAAGGAATAGAGAGGCTATTTGGGAGGAACCTTGACAAGAAATAGGCCAAGGGCACGCTTTATGTCTAGGTACAACAAACAACAGAGAGTGAAGATGATAAAACCTCCAACAATTCTCGCACACAACCCCTATATGAACTCCACGACCCTTATACGATGCTTCCAATAACTTTTATTAAAGGTGACTCATTGAGGGTTAAGACTACCATGTCAAATGATAACTTTTCATGTGACGACATTTGTTTATGTACAATATGAATTAGATTGAGGTATGTCAAACTCACCTATATGTGGTGGGGTCGTATGTCATTTGTGTGGCCAGAAGACCAAGTGCACTCATCTATATGCAATGTTCAAGCAAGATAATCCTAAGTTTGCCCAACATGCATGAAGAAGAACTAGTCGTACCTATCCAATAACTCTCTTAGAACGGGCTTAAGGAAGTTTATAATAGCTTAGGGTTGGCTTTAGTACCATCTATGTTTTTGTAATCAGCCTTTAGCTTATCAATGATGTCTTTTTTTGTTTATACTTTGGCAATTTATGTTTGAATACTTTGGCCTCAATAACTTGGGTCATGTTCTCTTCACCTGATCTGATTGGTTTTGATCTGATTGGACTAAGTTCTAATCTGATCTGGTCTGATCTGAATGTAGTTATATTTAAAGCTATTTCTGATCTGATCTAGTCTGATCTGATTTGATTCCAATAAGAATAAGTAATAAATAAAAAATAAGTTGGGGAGAACATGGCCTTGATCAGGCTAGTTGGGTACTTGATAAACATATTTAACCTCCCCTTGCAAGTGTTTGGCCATCCCAGCTTGCAAATTCCTTTAGATTTTCTTTGCAAATTTATGAAAATGTATGTCTTCTATTAATCCCCTTAAAAATCAGTTCCTTTCTATTATCTGCAATGCCAGGGATCTTTATAAGGCAGCCTCTCTACCTTTTCTAGGTAAGGGTAAGGGTAAGGTCCGTGCACACCCACCCCTACACCACATTCGTGATATTTTACTCGGTGTTGTGAATTGCAACAAGTATAGTGAATTTGTGTGGCGGTTGGATGAACAAGCAAACAAAATGTAAAATACATTTTTCCTTTGAAACTTTTCAAGAATGTTTGGTGTTGCCCGAGCAATCCATGCTGAGTCACTGGAGTGAAGATAATAAAATAATGATTGTACATAATATAGTGGGTGATGACGTGTTTCTATGTGCTTATAAGTAAAAAATATAAGGGGGCATTTCTCTGTGATGGTGCTTATTGGCTTATTGTTGATAAGCTTTTTTTAACTTATAAGTTGCTTATTTAAGTGCTTTCTGTAAAGTGACTTAACTGAGAGATAAGTTTTTAGGGGATATCCATAAAAGGCGAGGGATAGTTTTGCAAATAATCTCATCAAGACGGAGAAACAAAAAAATTGGCTTAACAATACGCAGGTAAGACCTTATTTTTTATGACTTATAAACACAGAGAAACACATCATAAGTTTTGAACAATCGTTTACAAAAAATCTATCCCTAACCTTTTATGAATATTCCCAAATGACTCATCGTTCATTTAAGTCACTCTACAAAAAAAAAACTTGAATAAGCATCTTATAAGTTAAAAACTACTTATGAGCTAAATGAAGAATTTTATTAAATAAATGAGGTGTTTTGGGATAAAAAACAAACCCAAATCCAGAGAGTTCAAAAGCTTAACAAAATTCCAACAACAACAAAGCCTTATTCATGCAACTTCATTGGCGAATACAAGCATAATCTAGTTTTACTACAAGAATAAACATGAGAGTCGATTACCTATTGAGTGTAGCAGATACAGTTTCCTGCACAGCAGCCCTCCAGTTAAAACCTTTATTTGACGTAAGATATATAGCGCCTTCATCAGTTACCATTTCTGCGCTGTTTTCACCTGTCGCTTTTATGTATACCTGCAACCAAAGCACATATTGTTTTTTCAAGATCAATGTAATTGAGATAATGATAAATGGATATCACAAAAGAAAAGAGTGCAATGTGCATTCACTCTCCTTAGCTACTCATGCTGTGTGTATTGCAATATCAGTAGATGAAACAACGACAACAGAAACAACAAAAACTACTACTGTTGCTACTCTGTATAATATTCCAAAACAAAGCTTTCATATTAGCCTAAACACAGTTACTTTCTATACACTGAAATGATTTACTGATCTCACGACTCACAAGACAAAATAAATAATTATTGACTTAATATCTACAGTTACTCTATTATCAATAATCGTATGCTAGTATTTTAGATCCTTTACAATGGTAAGTTTGTCCACATTTGCAGAACACTGTCGGTAAGAAAACCATAAAAGGATAGAAGTTTTTAAAAAAGATAGATTTGCAGTTCCAAGAGCATGAGTCCATAATGAACTTACCCAGAAGTTCTATTTGCACACTTAAAATGGGGAAGACTGACAAAAGTTTCCATCATACAAACTACTGTTTACTCCCAAAGAGTTGGTGATTTTTAAGTTAGTGACCCAAGTTCAACAACCCAGTACGGTCCGGTCCCGCAAGTGGAGTGTGGGAAGGGTGGTTTACACAGACTCACCCCTACCTAAAAAGGTATAGACCGAGGTTGTTTTCAAAAGACCCTTGTCTCAATTAAACATAAAAGTAGGAAACAAACAAATACTCGCTTTCTCCCATAAGAAAAATCCACATTTCCTTTTTCGTGTGTGTCAAAAATAGGTTCCAGTTTCCTTTTAATGAAAATATGGTATTCATTTTTTTATGTACATAACTTCCAACCGCACAATTTTGACTTTCTTAATATCATGACAATTCCAATGTGGAACATTTTTATGGGACTGAGGGAGTTCAAAAGATGAACGGTGAAGGTAAAACATCAATGGATAGTGATCCAACTTCATTAGAGAACTATTGAATTGTTAGAACTTAGTAGTTATGCACTATAGACTTATTTACTCTTCTCTTCAGGAATCAAGTTCAATAAACTATTGACTTTACTATACAACATATATACATACACACACACACACACGTCTACCCATTTCAATTCAATATATATGGAGAAAAGTAAATTCTAGTAAAGAGTATCATGACAAGGGTATATGATTACCATATCACCAGGTAATTGAGAACTTAATGGTATCCGCTCCCAATTTTCCCCAGCATCAGAACTATGCAACAAGATGGCTGGTTTTCCTACAATCCAACCCTCCTTCCCTTTGAAGCTAATTGCATTGAACCGATAATTGATATCTTCCTCTTCGGCTGAAGGAATTGATCGTGATACCCAAGTGTTTCCTCCATCCTTAGTTTCCAAAATAGTTTGTCTAGTCCCCAACAAAAAGCCTGTAAAAATTGAAGTGTCACCATTTGTCACTAAACTAAAGTTTAGAATCAAATGATCTCCGACACCATTGAATGGCACACCTGATATGCAAAACAAAATACACAGAGTCCATCTAATATACTCATGGCATACAAATCAATATAATTGTTCAAATGTTGATGAAACTAATCTCAAGCTACAATGTGTAATCAACACATAATGGTACACCCCATACACAGCTTCTTAGTACACTCCCATCCAGTTTTTATTGTCCTTTTTTAGTCTCATTTCTCGTTAAGGGAAACAGGGTTGGGATTATACTGCTTTTGTTGTTGTTGTTGTTGTTGTTGTTGTTCCTGTTAAGGAAATAAAGGTGTGGTGCATATTAAATCAAGACAAAATCAGGGAAAGTCCCTTTTGCACAAGGCTCCCTAGCATACACCAAGTAGACACTTGCCGTGACCTTTTCACTGGTTTGAAAAAGAAGGCACTCCTATCTAAAACTTGAAATTTCCGAATGCACCCGAAGAAAGCAACCAAATGCAAAACCAGGAAGTCCTAAATGGGGCAAACTCGCAAAATAATCGCGAGGCACCAATGGAAAAAGAATATGAAAGCTACATGACGTTTTATGCTTCTACACTTTAACGAAGCTAAAACAGACCGTGTTTGAGGTCGTCGGTTACAAAATCGATGTCTAGAAGCACTATGCCTGGGTCGACAGGCAGGTAAACCCTCTCCCACTCCGACAGCTGCTCGCTGCTTGGGGAGCTCCGCAGAAAAGGAAGGAGAGAAGCGGCGGCGGCAGAATCGGCGATAAAATAGCGGCGACTAAGACACGCCCCAACCGCCAGACGGCGGTGGGACAGTCTCCTCCTACCCGTCGCCATGGACGAAGTTCGGAATCCGCGGCGAAGAATGCCGGAGCTGAAACTGCGCACAGGAGGCTCGAGAGGAGCGAGGAAGGGTTTGAAACCGCCGGTGGATACTCGTGGAGACGCCATTTTTGGCTAATGCAATCTCGTGAGCGTTTGTGCGTGTCTTATCCTGTTATCGCAAATAGAGGATATGGTGGTGGGTCGTTAATCTTCGCGGGAGTACGTCGTTTAGAAGTAGAAGGATCAGTGGGTTTGACAAAAATACCCATAAGGCACTGTTCTAAATCAAACCCACATGATACCCGAATAGGAAAAAAATGTCTTCAAATGATTATAATAAATAATCTTCCTATATACAATGCTAAGAGGACATTGTGAACAGTATTCCCGCCCACTGGCGGATCCATATATATGAAATGGGGGGCATATGCCCCCAGTGAATTGTGAGTAGGTACAAAGCAAATAGTGTAATTTTGGAAAATATTTAAAAGAAATTGGATGGGTTTTTATTTATGCCCCCAATAAAAATAATTTATGCCCCCATTCTATTTTTAAAATACCTAGCAGTAAGTCTAAGTCCAAGAGTTTATTTCTTTATCTTCTTAGTGTATTTTTTTCTCCATCCATGCTGCACAGGGTTGCAACAGTCACTACTTTAGGTCACTCTTGTTTAATTTATTCATTTTGTATTATGTATAGTTATAAATTATTATGTGTGAAATAGCATAGAGAAAATCAGAAAAATAATACTATATACCGAGTAAAATAGAACAGGGAGTGAAAACATTTAAAAACTAAAATAGAGCAACTATCCAGTTGGATCTTCTTCAAATTTTAAATACTAAATTGTGACTTTCTTGTTTTTTTAATTATGTGAATAGATGTTTGAGATAAAATTAATTACGGAGTATTTGTTTGTGATTCACACTGTAAAAAAAACGGAGGGACTCCTTTCTAGAGCTCCGTAGTGTTCCCGCTATTGATGCTTGAAAGAGTTGAAGCTGCCCCGGTGAATTTTTTTCCTAGATCTGCCACTGTTCCCGCCCATTTTACCTCTGCAGTTTAGGCCGGTTGGGCTGGGTGTTATTGGGCCGAAAATGGAGATCTCTCTTGATAGCTATTTTTAGGGTCTATTCCACTTGGTGTGTGCCTCTATAAATTAAGTAAACTAATGATGCTTTATTGAGTCAAGTGACACATCAACTTTATATCCAACTTTACATCAAATTAAGTACGTAGTAAATAAATAGATTTGCACAATCCAAACATTTAATGTGCTTTCAATTAGTTGATTCACTATGTATTATATATTCACTATGCCCGATTTGCTAAAACACACCAATCCATTCTTCCACCATATTTGAGTTCTTTTTCTTCCTTGAGATGGCCGAAAATTCTCAAAGAAATTCCAGGACAATGTTTACTTTGATTTCTGAGCTGGACAACAATTGTACATCTTGGATTCTCAAGTTAAGGGCTATTCGTGTTTACTTTGTTCCAAGGTGGGCGAAAGGTGGAGATTCTATGGAGATCGTCTTTCACGATGAGCATGTATTGTATTCACGAACTTATTACATTTTTTTTATTATCAATTGTATCACTCAAATTGTATCACTCAAATTGTATCACTCAAATTACAATTGTGTCACTCAAATACTCATAATATATATCTTTTCTACAGGGAACGAGGATTCATGCACATCTTAATCGACCAGAAAAAAGGAAGTTTGAAAACCAAATCACCGAGGATGGTGTTTATGCCATTCGAAATGTTTTTGTTCACCACAACTATCAAAGTTTGAAAACAACCGCAAATGATAAGCTCTTGGGTTTTTTCAGAGAAACTGAAGTGAAAACTTTGAATCGGAGTGATTTTCCACGGATCATGTTTGACTTAGAACCATTTCAAGTTCTTCAAAGCCAACCATGTTTGAATGATCAAGTTTTGCTTGGTATTAATTCATTAAAAAAAAATTAAAACTTCTTTATTTCTTTTTCAAAGGTTAAGCTTCTTTATTTCTTTAAAACTTCGTATTAATGAAACATTAAAATAATCTGCCACAACATGTTATTTTTTTAAATTGGTGCCCTTCGAAAACCTATTTACTCCCTCCATCCCCTGTATTTGTCCACTTTCGTTTTTACACACCATCCAATGCACTTTTTTAATCCATTTTATCTTGTAATTTGTATATTAAAAAATTATAGAAATTATATATTAATAATCTATATGTTAAGACAAATCAAACAAGATCACACATGACTATATTTAGGCTTACACATTGAGAGAATTTGATGAGTCAAAGTGGTTCGATGAACAGTTCCAAAAGTCAAATGTGGACAAAAACAGGGGACGAAGGGAGTAGTTTGTAAAATAGTTTCATACGTATGAAACTTTATAATAAGCCCCCAGCACCGTTTTTTTAATCTGTGCAATACACAAAATATTTTCTTTCTTCTTAACTAACTTTTAAAAAATCTTGGCAGTTTGCACTAAAAAAATTTCGTCGCCATAATATAAAATATGTCTCAGCATATTTTTTTTTAAATCTGTGCACTTTGTAAAAATTTTTCATTATGCATAAATTTAGTTTGTAAAACCTGTGGAGTTTGTAAAATATTTTCATTCTGGAATTTTTATAACAATTTGCCACAGCACCGTTTTTTTAAAAATCTGTTTACTTTGTAAAATCTGCGCATCCTCTTTGCAAGCACATGTTTTCGTTCTTCTGATCGGTTTCGATTTCATGCATGTATGAATAGTAAAAAAACACGAACGTTTAGAATTAATAAACTCTGTTATCTAAAGTATTCCATTCTGATTTCTAATTCATTACGACGCAAATATGTGGTTATATCACATAAATCGAAATCGTTTGTTAAGCGATAATTCCTTGTAAAACATCGTTGAAATACCATACAAGGAAATTGACATTATCCTTAGTATGAATTGACTGACTGAACGCCGTTGCTGTTAACAACTTGTGATGAAGAATTCCTCAACT